TCCCTGATTTCTCTGTGCCAAGTGGGACAGAGGACAACACACAGCCCAACATTCCAGCTGGGACAGGCCCATGGGATAGGCCTGTGCTCCAGCCTGGGTGCTCTTCTCCCTATTTCCAATTCTGAATTGGAGGAGCTAATCCCAGAGGGACCAGGCCAGGGAAGGGCTGGTGGCCACCGTGGAGGTGAACCCAAGCCTGGCTTCCTTCCTGTGGATCCCATCTTCCAGCCTGGATGAACCAGGGGTCAGGGACCTCTCCCAGGACAATTTCAAGCCCATGTATTGTGTCCTTGGATGATGTGGGAAGCTCTGGAATGTCAGGTTTGGATGATGCACGTTCCTAACAGYGAACAGGGATCATCTCCAGGCCCATCCATGAAATACTGGGAATATTTAGAGATGGATGAGCCTGATCTCCTCCCATTCCACGCTTTCTGCTCCAAGAGTAGCTGTCAAACATTCCCAGWCTGGGATCCTGTCCCTCTTCCTGCAGGTACGGGAATGACCTGGTCTACAAGGGCTACTTCAAGGACGACGTGCGCCAGGGGTTTGGGATCCTGGAGAACTTCTCAGCTGAACATCCCTTTAAATACACAGGACAATGGGAAAAYGACAAAAAGAATGGATATGGAGTCTGGGAAGACAAGGAGAGGTAAAGTGGGATGGATCTGGGGTGGCTTTAGGTGTGGGAGAGCTTTAGTTTGGGTGGGATAAATCCTCGTGTATGGGTGGGATTTGGGATGGGGAGGGATGTAGAGCTTGAATTCCTTGAAAAGCATTTCAGGAGCTGAGTCAGTGTGGGAGATCAGCACAGAGCATTTTACCGGGTAAAACCACCCTCAGGAGTGGCACAGCCCATGGATTTGGAGCTGGGAAAACGGGAAAAATCTATAATTTGGTTTTTCTGGCATTCCAGAGGGGAGAGATACATCGGGACATGGTTGGATGACCACAGGCATGGCCCGGGCATCGTGGTGACCCAGTCGGGCATCTGCTACCAGAGAACATTCCACACGGATAAAATGGTGGTGAGTCCGAGATTCTGGGGCAATGTGCAAATCCCTGGGATCCTCTGCCAAGGATGAGATTAATCATGGAATAAAACATTCACCTTGGAGCACAAAGGGAAAACAAAACTGTCAGATTTTAGGGCAAGGTTCCTCATCCGGAGGGTGCTGGGGCACTGGAAGAGGTTCCTCAGAGAATGGGCACATTCCCAAAGCTGCCAGAGTTTCTGGAGGGAGCTGGACAGCGCTCCTGGAGATAGAGTGGGATTGTTGGGGTGTCTGGGCAGGGTCAGGAGTTGGATTTTGATCCTTGTGGGTCCTTCCCATGTAGGATATTCCATGATTTTACCATAACATTTGTTTTGAAGGACAGAGCCTTGGTTAAGCCTTGTCTC